ACATTACTGTATGTCATCTATTAACGATTTACACCCTCAATAGAGGAAGTCCAAAAAATGTAATTGTAACATAATAGGCAGTTCCACATTCTTAAAAAACAACCATTACAGTTTTATTTCCTTTGCTTTGCTGCTGTAGTACGAGTTGTGCTAGTTGATTTGACCTCTTGCTCTTCATCACTGCTTTCTTCACTGTCACTAATTTGAGGGATTCGACCAGAAGAAAACTTCCTTGTTCGACTTGGATATGCAGAGAGGTAACCTTTCTTATTTCCTGAGGATGAAGACTTTCGTGTCCTCGGGCCCCTCTCAGTTTTCTTTGCACATCTTCATTGGGCTCAATGAAGAACCAGCTGGGGCGGCCAACACTGAAACAAATTATTATTTTTTCCGACTATTGAGCTATTTAAGTCATATCTATTGACTAAAAATACTTCACACGTGAAACCAAAAAACAGTAAAGACTCACTTCCTCCTGGGGCTTGCAGTAACTGTCTCTTCAATGCTGACTTTGCTTGTTGATGACTCTTCTGTAATGGTTTGCAGCGCAGTTGCCCTGGATTGACGAGTGTTCCTCTTTGAAGCTGACGCACTCGACTCTGTGCTAGAGACTTTCCCTTTGTTTGGAGTTGTTTTACTTGGAGTCAGTGTACTGGGTGAAGCCTGTACTTTGCTTGGGGTAGCAACTGTTTTAGGAGGCGAGAACGAAAAAGCCTCACTCAAATCTGTATCTGGAATACAAACACCTTGATAAATGAAAATAGGAACTACTGTAGCATTCAAAATCTAAAACAAACCTACTTCAAATGGTATTTGACATTTAGTGCAAGTACCTGGATTTTCTTTGTGGTCGGAATGCTCAATTTGGGGTGAAGCAAAAGCAAACTGTTCACTTTGAGCTTCAGATGATACACTTAGACGGCGTCCTGCTCTTCGTGTCACGCTTCTCCTCCCAGATGTTACAGATGAAGGGCTCAGAGAAGCAATAGACTGATTATCACCATCCTCACTCTAAAAACGAATTAAATTAATAAGCAAGAGACTTTAAAACCATCAGGAATACGAAAATGAAAGGTGAGTAACTGACTTGCTGAGTATTGCCGTGAGCTGCACTGAGACGAGCAGATCGTCGAGTAGGAGTGCTTCGCAAACTTGAAGGAGTTCCTGGTGGTTGAAAAGATCTTTGCCTTCGCACAGAGCTCACGGGCGAAACGTCTCTATTCAACTCGGACACTGTAAAAATATTTTTGAAAAACAAATGTGTTACATTTCACATAAAATATGACTACGTTTGAAAGTTTCTAATTCAAATTGTTTCAAGATCTGACTTACCATCACTACTAGATTGACGGCGCCGTCTCGGCATGTTAGGGGTCAGAGCAGGATTTAAAAGAGTAGATGCAGTAGAACTTGGGGAGTCGAGAGCCTCTTGCTGGCGTTTATCACGCAGGCGTTGAGATGATCTAACACTGATGAGTGACATTCTGTCATCATCAGATACTTGCTCATCTCCATCCTCCTCAGAATGTTGAATAGGTCTGCTAAAGGAGGCATGAGTAGAATTCATTTCTAAGCTTCTGGCTAGCATAGCACGTTGGTGTCTGGTTAGCCTTCTACTTGTTTCATAGGTTTCCATGGCGGTTGAATTTGTTGAAAAACTGTCCTTAGCTGTAGTACTTTTATCTCCCTCATTACTGACATTACTAACATCAGAAGTTCGGCGCTTTCTTTGACCTCTATCTTTGGGTTTGGGCAATGGACTCTCAGAATGCACTGACTTTAATTCACTCCCATCATCATTTTTATTGACTTCCACGGTTTTATCTGATGAAGATTCTTCATTTATTTTGGAAAGTTTGTCAAGAGCCGTTTTACTCTCATTTCCAACTGCAGATCCCTGTGAAGACACAGATGTACGTCTTCGCCGAAACTTCTCAGAAGGTTTCGCTTCTCCACTTTCATTAGGAACAGAACTCATAGAACTACTTCGGGTACGGGCTTGCTTCGTGTTCTCACTCTGACCATCTTGAGAACTCACAGAACCTTTTCTTGTTCTCTTTTTCACAATAGGTACAACATCTTCAGCATCACCTGATGCACAAGCATCTACAAGAGTTTCGTTTAGATTTACTTGAGCACTATTTACTGACTCAAAGCTTTCATCCATGATCTGTGATTTAAGTTGAGACCTAGTAACTCTCCGGCTGGATAAGTCCTCGTCAAAGGTCTCTGATCTTGTAGAACTAACAGAGGATTTACGGGATCTACCTTTTGTCCCACTGGGAATAGGAGCAGATTCCTCAATGGTATCCTTGAAAGACTCTAAAGCAGCATTAGGCTGACCTTCAGGAGCTGGAGTGTGACTAGAAGAAATTGCTTCTGAAGAATGCTTTGATAACTCAGGTTCTAGAATCTGACTATCACACTCAACAGGTTCACATACTGAAGACTCAACTTGAACCTCGCCTAAAGGTGATTCCCATATATTTTCATTAGAGACTGCAGCATCAAGTCTTAGTTTTGGCATGTCGTCATGTTCAACATCGGCCATTTTGCTTGATGAATTCACCTCATCGGTCGGTTCTTTGATCTTATTATCTGGAATAGTAGTAATAAAACACATTTTAAGATGAGCAAAAGCTTAGAATCTTTTAAATGGCAAAAGTTTATTAAGGAAACACTGTATCATGTCTTACCGCCTGAAATTTTTGAGGAAAGCAGTTTTGTGTTGTCGGAAAGAGTAGTGACTGAAAGCTCAGACTGGACGTCCATTTCCTCAACAACAACTTCATCCACGTTCGTATTTCCAGCGGACGTTGACACAGATAATTTTCCGCCCTTCAGATCCCCTGAATCAACAAAATAGCCTTCATCTAGGTGACAATCTCTATCACTCACACTTGAAGAGCCTGGAATAATCTTATTCATTTCAGGGACAGCTTCATCTAGACCAGTTCCTTCATTTTCTGCTTCAACAACATCTTTGTTAGATAACTCAGACACATCTGAAATCTGAGGGCTAGTATCTGAGTAATGTTGGCTATCGGTTGATTCACTTTCACATTCAGAACTAGAATCAATGTTATCTAATTATTGAGAAATGAAAGAAACACATGTTAGTCCAGGAAAAAGATAGAAACACAAATATTTTAGTGAAATTTTGATAATTTGAATATCTACTAACCTATGTGACTTGTCCTGAAAATGTTGCTGTCATCAGTGATAAGTATTTTATCTTCAGAGTCTGAGTCTTCACCGATTAAAACATCTTTACTGGTATCTTCTGTATCATCGTCCATTGCTTGAACTTCAACTTCATTTTCCTTTTCTCTATTTTCTTGATCCTTTGCGTGCTTTGTATGAAATTCTTGATTACCTTCGTAGCTGTTGTCATCCAGCTCAACAACTTCAATTGACTCATGTTTTGTAGAAGAGGAAGATATGGTATCAGTCCTATCTTTGCCGTCATCAATCTCATTAACTTTTGAATGATTAACTTGAACATGTGCCTCTTGAAATGTCTCGTTGTCAATCATTGTTAAACTTGCACTTTCATTATAACAAACTGACTCTGCAGAAAACAGCTCAGAAAGATTGGATGTGTCTGAAATGGCACTACAAGACTGAGCAGCAGAACTAATAGGAAGTCCAACACTAACACGGGGTGCATTTCTTATTGAAGGCCTCTTTAAGTTAACTGAGGGCTGTGTTCCAGATGTATTGGAGGAGGCTGCTGCCAGGGAGCCTACTTCCATTTTGCCATGCAATTCAGAGGTACCCTCTTCCAACCGCGCTGATTTGAAAATCGGTGGAGGATTTTCATCATCTTCGTTGTCTTCATTACTGTCATCTTCCTCAACATCATGTTGCGTTCTTTTGGTACCAGAGACCCGGCGGGTTATTTCTTTCAAAGAGGGCCTCGCAAGATTTTTTCGGAAATTGGGGGATGATATGGTTCCTTGAGCACTGCTCTCAGCACTATGAAAAACATCACTCTCATCTGTCCTTGACAAATCTGATTGAAACTCTGATGAATTCATAGAACCAATACCTGATGTGTCCAAACGGAAAGACCTGTTTGGAATGTAAAATTTGATTGATTAATTGATTAATTGTTGATACATAGCTTCACTGAAAATTGAGATTATTTAACTTATTCAGAAAACTTACCTAAATTTCACTTCAGCTGAAGTCTGTACATCTATGGGCTGTTCCTCATTGGATTGCTGAGAGTCCTCATCAACCATCTCTTCTTTGTCTTGATATTCAGTAGTGTTTTCCTCTTTGCTTTGCTCCTGGTCTACAGTGTCGTTACTACTTTCATCATGAACTGCTAGCTCTGCATCAACAGGTTCATCTTGATCATACACACAAACTGATCCTTTCCCAAATGTGACTGTGGGTCTTCCTGCTTTCCGAGCTTCTGATAATCTGCGATGGCACAGAAAATTTGAATTAAGAAATCAACAACAACAAGGTTTGGAGACAAAACAAATAATCCTGGAAACCAAAGAAAGAAAAGAACAGTACTTACACAACCATTCTCGATAAACTTTTATCAGATGGCTGCTTCAGTGATGAAGTAAGAGAGGAGGGAGATTGGGATTCGAGAGAGCTCTGTGAATGAGATAAGTCTGAAGAAATATCGGAATCAAAGTCAATAATTCTTCTAGCCGTAACACCAACAGGACCTTCTTCCTCTTCATTGTCTCCTGGTTCAGAGTCAGTTTCAGATTCTCCTTTGTTTGTATTTCTAGATTGCTCCTGTTCACTTTCCTCTTCCGTGAGCTCATGCTCACTCAAAGTGTCTTTGATAAAAACACGTCTGGGTGACTCAGACTTCGATGAGCCAGACGATTGGCGCACCTGCAGGAATTATTCATTAACACATAAAGATGCCGTATAATGATACTACCTGTTTTGATTGCAATAGTAATGAGATACCTTGATAATAGATTGAGGTGTAGCAGCTTTGTGTCCAGGGCTACATGCTATTAATTGCTGTTGCAATTTGGCTCTAGTACTGGGAGAGCGCCGCTGAACCACAGGAGTGTTTAAGAGGGACAAGGTATCTGTGCATGAGTAGGTTGAATACCTACCACGATTAAGAGACAAGTTAGATCAACACTATGCAGCTGGTACCATTTAAAAGACAATAAAAATCCAAGGTAAACCATTCAAGAATTTAAACATATGAGTATGAGCCTAGACTAGATTTCTCACCTATGAACAGACTTTTGTTGCTCCTGTTGCTGCTGCTGTTGAAGCTCAGCAAGAACAGTTTCCAGCTTTTGAAATCTGCTGCGTTTAAGGTTTCCTATGTCCATACTTTCATCATCTTCCTCACGCACTCTTTTCCGATCAATTCCTCTTGGCTCAGTCTTCTGAATTTGTGTAGCAGGTCTTTAAAGGAAAATATAAATCAGACATGGACAATTCTCAAGGAGCACACAAACAGAAAAGACAAATTTCCTGCCTTTCCTCTGAATACATTAAGATAAAAAATCAAGGAGCTCCGCAAAAGATAAATTCATTGAAGAAAGACTACAATAACATTAATAAGTCAATCCATAGCCAAGAAAATGTGGGTATCCAAAGGCAGATCAGGCAGATAAACCTTTAAAACCAATTTTCCCCTTATATCTTACTAATTATTTTCCCGGGCACTTTCTGTACTTGGCAACCCTAGATAGTAAACTGGAAGATGACAGTACAATCAGGGTAAACTTACTTTGGATGAGGTAAAACTTTAGTTCTAGGAGTGCACAAAAATGGAGTTGACTCAACTTCCGATATCATTGGAGGAATACGATTCACAAGTTTAGCCCAGGTTTCACGGCTTCTTTCCACTGCAGTTTCAAGTAAAGATGATTTATAACGCATTTGTGGGGAACCAATCTTAGGATTCACAAAGAGTGGGGTGGGTTTTTCAACTGAAATTTTTCACAGAGAGTTAGATTTAAAAAAAACAAAAAAATGTAAAACAAAAGATATGGTCAAAGCTGCAAGACGTGAGATTTAATACCTTGAGACCACGACTTCAATTTATGTTGTTGCTGAGCACAGTGAGCAGCAAGTTTTCTAGTAACTGATGGCAAGGTTTTGTAAAACCCATTTACAACAACATCCCTTGTGCCTCCTGACCGTCCTTTTTTCCTTAGGTCTTGGTTCACATCCAGTGCCTCCACATACCTGGAAACATAAAAGTACATAATTCACGTGATTTTACAACAAAATAAACAAGAATGAATACAAAATGACATATTGAGCAACTACCTGGATCGTTTCAGTAAATATAGCACTCTAAGGTCATCAGCTGCAGGATGTTTTGAAGTTTCAAGATACTTGGAGAATGCAATTTCTTCATCATCATCCAGAGAAAACTGCAGCACTGTCCTTAAATGATTCCTCACCTCACAACCTGCATGAAAAATATGATTTGTAGAACTCAAAATAAGATGTCTGACATAATGTTTTAAGATAGATTATAAATATACTACCTTGAAAAAATTGTTTTAACAGGATTTCTGAATTAAAGTCGGAACGATGATTACGTTGATACATAAAGGCTTCATTGATTAGGTCATTCACAAGTAACAAATCAAGGTGAAGCTTAATATCAGTTTGGTCTTGAAGAGGCGGACGCCGTGCTCTTACATACCGAAGAGCCATACACGCCTGACCTTGTAAAGTCAGTACACGAATTATGCAGCGATGCTGCCAAGGGACAATATCTCGAACTGACACCAAAGGATCCAATAGCATGTCAAGAGCAGTGTCAAATTCCTTGTGATCAAGATGCCAAAATGCTTGGGTTAGTCTCATAATCCCAACAGACATACTGAAAGCTGCCGGGAATTTCATAAAATTCTGAAGCGTTGCTTGATATTGTTCATTGTCCAAAATATTAGCCAAGTCCATTAACACATAAATCAAAACACTGTGTTTAACTTCCAGTGCCACATCTTTCACAAGAAAAGTTCTTAATAGTGCTTGCATGGAGGTTGGTGGGTACTGGCCAGCCCCTGGACCAGCACTGCCCCCAGCATCCCGTTCCCATTCTGCAAAAACATTAGCACCACCAGGCTGGTATTTCAGAAGACCATCTATTAAAAGCAAATCCTCTTCCATGTCATTTTCTTCACCCTGTTGTTGAACAAGCCTTTGAAATTCTGACCGTCTGGAATTGAAATGTAAAAACCAGTTACATTTGAGTTTGGGACTCCTTGTCTAAAGTTAACTTAGATTTACCCCAATAAAAATTGTATCCTCTTACCTTGATTGGTAAAAGCTTGCTATGTCTTGGGCTGGGTATGGAACCACAGGGTTTAATCCCTCAGGCAACAATTCAACATCAATTAACCATTGAAGAATATCATAGTACTGACATTCTAGTTTCAAAGCATCATTCTGTAACTTGATTTGAGGCCACTCTGAAATAAATGCGCAGAGACTTATTTAAAAACTACAGTACTAAAATTTTTACACATATTATTAACAAATTTGTTACCATTTAAAGCCAAGTGCCACTTGTTTTGAACAACACTCTCAAAGAGTGTTTCAAGGAGGTGGAAAATCCCCACAATATGATGCAACTGTTTTTGAGCAATGTTGTCAAGTTTCTCTCCTGAATGATCAAACAATTGAGCACAAATGCGTATAGCCATTTGCTTCAGAACAGCGGCACGGTTCCAGGCCACAGACAGCAGCCAACCGAGAGTGCAGCCAGCAGCTGAGAGGCGCCCATCAGCCCACTCACGTGCACAGCGACAGACGAATCTCCCTAATCGTTGTTCCAAAGCCACACATAACACAAACGTACGTTGCTCATCCTGCAAATTAAGCAATTCATTAAAAAATAAGAAATGCTGTGGTAATTTGACCCTATATTTTTACTCAGCCGAACAAAAGACAAGGGTCATTTATCACACAGAAATTAAACACAAACACCTCTGAAAAGTAAAGTAACTTTAACTTACAATTGGTACATTCATAGAACTTGATACATCCATTAGAAGAGGACGCAAACCAAGGACCAGACATTCATGGAAAATATTAGTTGGGGTCATTAAAGCACCAGGCCCAGTAGACACAAGGTCAGCCAACATTGCTTGCTGTACTCCTGGGTGTTTCAAGTGCACAACTTGTCTTTCCATCAAGACTTCAGAGACTAAAATGGTACAAATGGAACAATTAAGAATTCAAAACGTCAATACAAAACAAAAAATACTGAAATGAAAGTTAGATATTTAAAGAAACACACCAAATGTAAGAGAAGATGGTCTTGAAAATTCCTCAACATTTTGGACTGATGAAAATTGTATCATAGAGGAAGGATTCACTCGTACATCAAGAAGTGCTCCGCCACTAGAGTTTATTAATTTACCAATGTCATAGGAAACAACATAACTTGCGATTGGCTTGTTTCTCGATGTACCCCCACGTTGGGATAAGTGAGATGGCATTTGGTCCACATACCTAGTAGTCAAACAGAAATGAAACAAAACAAAGTGATACATACTTCTCAGAAGAAATAACGGAATGGAGGAAAACTGGTAAAAGGAAAAAATACTTAAACTTACCATTGATTTATATCAAATAGTGTCATGTGTGTATTGACAGGATTGACTGAGCTAGAGGGGCCAGAAGGTCCCCAAGTTTCCCAGACCATTAAACACAGACTTATTCCATTAGAAGGTGGACCTAGAGCACCTTAAAAATTGAAATTGGTTTTAGTAGCACCACTCAGTAGAAACTATTAGATATCAAAGGGGAAAAACAACTTACTGCCATCATCAGAAGGAGTCTGGACGATATTAGATCCCTGCATGCCACGGCTAACAGAATTGAGAGAAATGAGGCGCCCCCCAACAGTTTCTTTTCCCCCACTCAAGTCATATTCAAAGCCCGTGGAACACATCATAAAGTTCTGTGAAACAAACATGTATACATTAACAAACATGTAAATTACTTGCAAATGAATCATTCAGTATAATACACATGAGTCAACTTACTTTATAAAGGTGACCATAGTTGGCATGCCACACCTTTTCATCATAACACAGTGAAAACATTGTTGCTGCTGGAGGACCAAAAACTTGGACAGGATAGTCTAGATCATTAGCAGCTTTAGGGTCTAGGCCTCCTCTGACAGTCCAAAGGTAGCAATAAGCATTAGGGTCATCACAAGCTTCTTGGAATGCAAGTTGCACAACGGGATTTGGTTCATTGAATGGTAAAACATAGCTATTTTTTAAAAGAAATGGAAAATATAAATGAAAAAATACCTCGAGTAGTTGAGTAGAATGAAATATACAGTACGAAGATTATTGAATTATATCTACTTACACCAGCGATAATGACTGTAAGGACCATATTTGAAATGATCCAAAAGCAAATCCTATACACAAACTAGCGAGTTGTGGCACATAGAGTAAAGATGTGACTGATGGATTTTCAGGTAAAAAACCACTCCCATCTCTTGCTGGTAGCTGGACAAACAGCCTCTGGTGCTTCAAGAAATACTTCTCTGTAAATTAAACAATACATATTAGATAAATTTATGAAAGAGAAAAGAATAACATTCAAGTATACATTAGAAAGTATGACACTCATATGCTGCAAATTGAGAATTAAAAATTAGTAACATAAATCACCAAAACAAAATTAATTAACCTTTGTTGACACATACCATTTAAATGAATGAAAACATGATCGTCCGGGTACTCTTCCATTAGATTTCTATTCATCATTTTCAGTGGGATCAAACCACAAGACCGCAGTTCATCCCTAATGCTTTCCCAATTATTAGATGGACCAAGACAGAGAGCTGAATGTGGAGGGAGAGTGAAATTTAGAACACTAAATAAAACAACTGTGAAATCAAAATCACAAGTAGAAGATTAAATTATTACCTTCATCACATTCATTTCTTCGCAAATCAATTAGAAGAATCTGACCATCATTGGTACCGATGGCAGCAATACCTGACATACTTTTAAGACATTCATTGTATGCTACGACAGGCTCTCCACCAAGGCCTACGATATTGAGTGCAGTGACTTTGGAAGGTGTATTGATAGCTCGAAGAACACGAGAGCCAGCAAGATTGAAAAGACAAACCATGCCACCTGTCAATTCGCATTCTAGCCCCACCAAAACCTGGCCCACCTGCCCAGGCGTCCCAGAGGCTGACAGGTGTGGTAGCTCTGTGACACATGTTACCTGCAAAAGGAATAGGAAATATGCACAAATTAAGATTGCACGTCAGTTTAAATTGTTTTGTACAATCTCATGATGAGATGAATACAAACCTTCGTCTTAAAATCTCTCACAACAGCACCAAAATTCCAAGCAGCAATTTTAGCTCCATCTGCTATGTTAACAATTTCAAGAAGGGGCCCTTTGCTCAGCCACGCCAACTTTGAATCTGGACAGTCCAAATGAGTGACAAAGTTTAAATACACCAGTGCTACAATACAACTCTGGGTCGTTCATAACCTCTAAAAGCACATTACCTGCGAAAATTCCTCCTAACAAAGGAGACGCCTCATCGCGCTGATCTCTGAGGCAGCTTGTGATAGAAGCTGGAAACTCAACACGGCCCGTGGCATTGCATGGAGCTTGGTCAGATTGCATGACTGCATACTAAATTGCACACCCGGCTGCTTGGAAGATCTTGCAGGCGGCAGCACGCTATGCTCTGAGTTATTGCGATGAAACCACGATTAGATTTTGATCAGTAACGGCAGTGCGCCTCACTTATAGTCACAGAACGCGTATCTTGAATACGCCTCACACACATACAGACGACAGGGTTCACAAAATCATGGTAAACTTAATAGACGATTTGGGCTACCTCTGGATAAGAAGAAATCAAGCAAAAATGCCGACAAGCATCATGGCCGTCCAATATGGCCGCCCATGGGAGAGATAGGGCTAGCAGACACGATGCTTGTAGATTTCTTCCTGACTTCTTCTTATCCAGAGGTAGCCCAAATCGTCTATTCTTGAATCACAAGCATTTCCCTCCTTCCTCAAAATTCGTAAGTTATGCTTTGGTTGTGAAGGAAGAAGAAGAATGTAAGAACTCGCACACCTGCATATAAGCCGATGAGTGTTATTTGAAGTCAGCACACCAAACTTCCATTCTTCCCTGTTGTTGTATGTCTGCTGTATTTGTCTTCAATGTTTTCATAATATTCCGTGCCTGATATGCAATTTTATATTGCGATTTGATTCCAAGTTATTTTTAATCTCTCTCGTTAAAAGGTTTGTAGAAAATAGAGGCCTAAAGTTTGCTTTCTGGTCGTCCCTTTCTTAAATACTGCTGGCTACTCTTATTAACTTACCTAATTCTTTCGAAAATCTTAATTAACATTGTTCCCTTTCAACTCCTGCCCTTTTTATTGTACATTTCTACACTATTTCTGTTCCTTATTTACTTGCTATCAACACCTTCATTTCTGGTTCTCTGGTTGAATGGTTATGGATCAAGTTAATTGACACTATTTCATTCCCTGTTCAAACCCTCACCTATTTTCCCCAAAATTTTCTCATTAAGTAAATACTGTTAATTATGAAAATTCTAATTTTTTCAGATGTCTGATCACAAAAAGATGTCCAAACCGGATGAAAAAATCTCCCTGAGCCTCCGCTGGGGAAGTCATCGAGAAACTGTTCTACAATCTCTTGAATCTTCATACGGTGATCAGGATTTCGTTGACATGACTGTAGCATGTGAGGGACAGTCAATACAGGCTCACAAAGTAGTTGTCTCAGCTTGCAGCACTCATCTCAAACATTTACTGAAGGTATAGCCCTCCAATTTTTAATATTTTTTTCCTATCTTTGTTCTCTTTGGAATTTTGCCATTTGGTTTTGTGAGAACCTAATGCCCTACATCTTCTTTTATGTCAGGAAAACCCTTGTCCCCACCCAATCATCATTTTAAAAGATGTGGCAATGAAGGAATTGCGGTGTTTGATGGAGTTTATGTATTGTGGCAGAGTGACTGTTGAGCAAGAACAAATTGAACCTTTACTAGAAGCAGCTAAAATGTTAGGTGTTAGGGGCCTAGCATCTGGGGTAAGTATAATTCTACTTCGTAATTTATAATTTTATATTTGTCTGTTAAAATACAATCTTCTCTATGATCTTAGGAAACTCTAGAAGATCTTGAGGACCTAGAAAGTGTTAAGTCTGAAATTGCTAGTAAATCTGAAAGTGATCATCAGCTTCACATAAATCAGAAGAGACAAAGGTCTGAATCACCATCATCCAATAAGAAGGCTCGACCTGTACCAGCATTGCAGAGCATTTTGGCTCAAACCTTGCTTACTACTAGTACCACCTCAAGACAAAATTTTACTGAGGATGTTACAAATGAAGCACTAGGAGAGATGTCTCGACGCTCATTATCTCCTCCAAACACTTTGGCCAAACTGTTAGCGCAGTCGCCTGTCAGCACACTGGGCTCCTCTCATTCGTGTTCTCTAGAGGCTGAAATTAACAATGCAGAATCAAGCAATTCAAAACCAGATGATAACAGCAGTATAAGTAATCAGATGGTTAGTTACAATTCTAGTTACCAAAAAGTCTTTCAATTTTAAAATTATTTTTCCAGGTTATTAACATTGAGAAAAACTACTGAAAAGACCATTAATTAAGCTAACTATTTCATTTTACTCTAGGGAGACGGAGGATTTCAACTAAAACAAGAAGCAGTTGATCTGGATTTAGCCATAGATAATCCCACAGAAGCTTTAGAATTAGAGTATCAAAACCCAGAAGCTGATGAGACTGTTGATACAGACACATACCTACAGCAAGGCGGTATTTCATCTACCTCTCCATTTGATCCAGCTGTTCATGATCGAATTGGAAAGGCAACGGCATTCATGCTTAGTTTGGCAAAACGAGCAAATCAAAGTGAGGTTTCATATTTTACAATCTACTTTATAAATATTTTAAAATAATTGTATACATATTTCTTTACATTGTAAATTGCAGATAATACCTTTGGGTCATCACAACGTAAGCTTTCATTCCATGAGCCTCGGCCCTGTCCTGTTTGTAGTAAATTGTGTCGAGATTCTACAACTTTACGCACTCACATGGCAATGATGCATCCATCTGCTCCTCTTAATGCACCTAATTTGTCTCGTAAGTATTGTTATTTGATAGCTCCAAACTGATCCACGCATTGAGAAACTTAAGTCGTTGACTGTAATGTGGTGATTCAGATTTAAGAGCACCCCACCTTTACTTGAAATATCAAAAAATGTTAAATTTATACAATCAGTTAAATTCTATACCAAATAAACCTGAACTTAAACCTCAGGTTTGGTGTCAGCAGGGGAAGCATCTAGATCAACTCCATTATCTGCAGCAGAGTATCTAGCATCGATGGCTGAGAATCTGAAGTCAGAGTAAGTTTCAGGTTTAAATGTCCAATCAGTACAAAATTTAGAATTTATTTTACATCTTTTCTGTAGTCACAACTATTATCAATTTGTGATCAATTTGTAGAAATTTGTGCCTTTCTTATATTTAACTTAAGCATTTAACTTTTTTTTAAATACCTGAAGTTAAGTTTAATCAAACTACATAGGTATTTGTATTTAGCTCTCCTTGTCTTTTGAATGAATTCCTTCCTAGTATATTTTAGAAGCTTTTTGTCACTCAGTTATTATATTTCCAGCCACTTTATTTTTTCTGCCAATGTTAATGTAAATATGCAATATCTAAATGTTATCAGTATGGGGTATTTAGTAACCTTACAAGGGTAGCACTTTTTGCATTTTATAATTCTATGGGAAGTACAGTAGTTTATTGTTCTGAAATTTATATAAAAAGTAGTAACTCCTATTCCATACAACCTTAAGTTGAGAACATTCAATGGAGAATACTTTCTGTTCTCCCATTGACTTTTACATTATTTATTTGAAGAGTAACAAAGTCTTGTTTTAGGTTGGAAGAATGCAGTTATTAATTTATTAAAACTGACTAAGCTCTTCAAAATATGATAGAAATAAATATTCTTGGTGGACCTTGATTGTTTGTTATCTTGTGAACTTAAACAATGCTTTTCATTTCTCAGGTTGATGATAAGTACTCGTGATCTCTTACAGGAGGGATTTATTCAGAACAAATCAGCATAGAAATCAATTACGGTATTTCTCTTTTTGCTTTACAGCAGCCAATGGAGACGGTGGCAGTGAAAGCCCTCTTGCTTTCTATGAAGCTCGTCCATGTTCCATCTGTGGGAAGATGTACCGTGATGCAGCATCTTTACGAATCCACACAAGTATAATGCACACTGTGTGTCATAGTGGGTATGAGTGCTCTTGCAAGTTAATTTTCCAGACCAAACATGAAATGTATCTGCACAGAAGAACTCATGCTAAGCAATAGGAAAAACAAATCTTTCAACAAATTGAAAGTCTCAAACACTTTCCTTTCCCAATTTTATTTTAAAAATGAAAATTTCCTCTTTTGAATCACTTGAAGCTCCTACAATTTCAAGTTCATAGCACAACAGTTGCTGTCCTTTTGTGAAATCCAATACACAACTTAAAAGACTGATAAAAATTCGTGTATAAAATTGACTTCAAATAGAGAAGTAATGATATACATCAGTGGTTGTTGCTACTGAAATGTTTACAGATTGTACTAGCATTTCTTTTACGACAGTGTTTTACAAATGTTGATCTCTTTCATTATTTTATTTGTATTTTCTCTTTTGTAGTTTATGTTAATGTGTTTTTGGACAACATGCTAGTCTTGATTATTTTATACAAATAAACATCTATCTACCTATGTAATATACTGTACTTAGATGTTAAGTGTTGAGCTTTGGTAGAGGATTGAGATAGTACGAATATACTTTATAAAGTGTACTAGATTTATCAATTTTAAAAGCTTTTAGAAGGGTAGTTGGGAGGACTGCCCCTATACATTAGTGCACAAATTCTGTTTGAATTTTCATTTCAAAATGTTTAACTGCATATTTCTTTTTGATAATTTCAAACTCAAATGATAACATCTCTCAGAAAACAAAATGTCAACTCCCTGGATTGTCTTGTAATTTGATGGTGACAAAAATGTGTACTCACCAACTCACCAAAAATAATTATCTGTTAAGTTTGTTAACTGTATCTGTACAGACTTTTTTATATTGCTGTAGCCTAATCTTATTGTAAGCTATTTATTTTTAAAATGTGATAGATATGAACCCTCTTACTCTGCAGTTTCAGAGGTGGAATAGTTGTTATTTCAAATGAAGGGTGGGAAGAGGAGTCAGACATCAAAAGACTGGAACTTCCTTGCTGCATTCTATAAATTTAGTGGCCTTCATCCTTTCGCGAAAAAAAGGAAGCTTGATATGTAGGGTTTTCTCAGTTAGAAAAGATGATTTGCCAAGTGACATTTGAAATGATTGTGTAATTGTGATTTTAATTTTTGTGCAAAACATTGTATGTTTTTTGTTACTTTGTTAATTTTAAGTGAAAATGGCTCATAAAAGCTACATATACTAGAATTTGTGTTGGATCCCTCCCATTTTTTTTTTATTTTAATTTTCTTTGTACAAATAATTAATTTTCCATCTCTAGAAGGTCGAACATAAGACGCATTCACATTCACTCAAGATCGAAGCTGACAAACTTAAATGTGTGGACACAATATAGAAAATGTAGTCCATGCCATACTCTTACTGCAGATTTCGTTGCCACTTCGCATGAACAGGGTTGCATTTTCCAGTGCCAAGCCGAGGGGGGGGGGGGGCTGCCGATATGTTCGATAAGATCCGAGTCCGCTCGATCACACCGCCAGCCGATCGGCGTCACCCCACCATTCACCGATTTGAATTTTAACATGTGGATGTTTGGGGTGCCTCAGCCATCCAACAGCATAGGACAGACACCCACGTATCTGGACGCAATTGTAGAGGGAAGAACGGAACGAGTTAGGAAGGATGAAATGGGAAGTTGGTGTCAAAAGCGTGAATCAATTTTCACCCCATTGAGTATTACGAAGTAGTAGGAAGGGAAAAGAAGTCGTGAGAGTTTTACTCTCAAATTGTACATGTTTCTTCTTCTTCAGGCTTCGACATGCCCACCGGAGTTGCAACAGCGCTCCAGGCGAACCGGATGTCCGTCGCTTCGCGACGTACGATAAATCCCTGCTCAACTGGAGTCTCGCCGCGCGCGCGAGCGAGTGAGCGATTGGGTTTTGATAGTGCTGCGCTCCTTTTGTCATGCACGCCTCGACAGCGACGACGCGCTGACTTTCGTTGCATTACTCGCTCATCATTTATTGCTCCTGGTTCGCTCTGCGGTCGCGGGTGCTGCTACGGGGGACACGCCAGGGGCTTGGCCGCATCGCCGCCGGGGACCGGCCGCCCCCGAGATAAGGAGCGCGCCGAAGGATGAGACTAATGAAGGTGGACTTGCAAATAAAAATTTGTGCATCCGCTGCGCGCTTCGCGAGCCCCCACAATACGAGCCTCTTCGAGGTCGCGGCGAAGGTGAGCCGCGACAGGACTGCTGCTGCCGAACCGATACGATGTGCTCGTTGCGGCGGTTCGTTCACCTCATCGGACACCAGCGCAGGGACTCGACCCTGCCTGCAGTTTGTGCGTGGATACTTCTCACTTTCCCTGCGTTTTTGAGTTGACGGCGGACTGATCTGGACTAAAGAGCTCCAAAGTTTTAAACACACTGTGACACACACACTACGGTGAAAACTGTTCCTTGATATCCAAGGACCATCGGAAGGATTCAAGGACCGGATAGGGAAAATTGCATGGGGCGTCCTTGAATCGTTCTGACGGTCCTTAGACAGGAAGGAACAATTTTCAGCGTGCACAGAGATGGGGCGCCATGCGTATGGCTGGCTGAGGATTTCCCGCTGATGCGGGCAATCCCAGTGAGGGAAGTCCACCACACCCTGACCCACGCACGCGGGCGCCGCGGCGCTGCGGGACAAGTCACACCCACCCCTGCCTGCCGCTGCCGACGCAAACGCCGCTGCGGAAAAATCGGAAGACGTCGAGAGGAACTAATTCTACAATGGCGTGGGGCGTGGCCCTTTCCACGGGGAACTGACTCGGCCGTCAGCCTCCAGGCGATGACTGGAGGACGCGCGCCACTCCGTAAATGTGCCGATCATGGAAGAGAAGCGACTCGGCGGCGTGGGTGGAAAAGACCACACGCCTGCAGGCGGAACTGCCCAGCCGGAATATAATTGGTCGTCGATTGGTTAAGTCATGGGGCCAACAGACCATTCGGACAAGCGCCGCGTTACGCAAGGAGGCGACAGTCAAATGTCCCGGCGACTCCCAAGCGCGCCCCAAGGCACCGGTGGGTGTGCTGCGACCCGTGGCTCCAGGCCCTGGAAAATGCGATGCAAGGTCCGTACTGAGGAAAAAGAGGGGAAAAGGAGGGGAGGCTGGGATGTCTAGTCTGCCACTGTCGTATGTGAGAAATGGGGAGACTGGGGGGGGGGGGGTCATACGGACAGAGACTGGAGCACGCAATGGTGCTTCTAGCTGACCCTGTCACTTTCGGCCCTAGACAAGGAAAGAAGAACCCATTTTAAACAGCCGAGCACCAAAACGAAATTTAATAGTTTCATTGTGCTCAGACCTAGATCCATCGGCGTCCCAAATCTCGAGGCGAAGGTGTTTTTGTGAGATCCTGGTGATGGTCTTGCTCCTGGGCGATGAGCGCTGCTGCCTCATCGTTCTGCGGGCGAATCGATTAAGCCCCGTGTTATCGAAACGAAAAGTTCCAAAAAGAACGAGCCGAAGGCCAAAGCAACGTCCGGGCGGAGGGAATTCCTCCTAGGAGGACTCGAGAAAAGCTGAACTAAACGAAATCCTTACCTACAAAGTTGTCGCTTACAGTTCGCCTCCAAACTTATGCTGACAATCCTTCGACATGCTCTGAACGTAGACCGCGGCCTGTTAAACAATTACCAAATTAGCATAGATAATTGCACTTCCGTTTCCCCTAAATTCCAAAGGAGACATAGCCCTTTACTTTTAACTTGCCTCCACGTGCGGACACGGTGGCTGGAACAGGGGTTTGCCGTCGGAGTCAAGAAAGTCAGCGTACTTCAACGAGAACACCTTCTTCATCCCGAGCTTTTCCGCAATTTTGCCACTGAAACAATCATGAAACATGATGATGGTTGACGCGCTTATTTAGTTTCCCTCAAAAACGTTTTGCGACCGGTGTTTCTTTTCTCAGGGCAACCGTGCCTCCGCGTGGCGCGATCAGTCGCCATTTATATTTGCCGGCAGAAACTCCAGTCGTGACTCCAGGCGCGCTCCATCGGGCGGGGAAGGGGGGAAGGAAGGGGCGGGAGGCGCCAACGCCCACCGCCGCACCGCTTGCAAAAAGCAGAGCCGCACTGAAATTATGAGATGCGGCCCGGGTCGTTACGATCGCCTGACGATCGTAAACTGACAGCGATGATGGCGATCCAGAGTATGTTCGCTCCCGCCATGCACCCGCCGCGTCACTCCGCTGTACTCGCGCTGCCGCTCGGATCCGTCGCGCCCAAAGCGCCGCCGGTGTGCAGCCTTTCATCGGGGAACCGGAGTAATTACCGCCCGCCCCCCCTCCCCCCAAAGCGACGCGCACGTGACGCAGGTTCCATTCGGCAACGCCCTCCCGCAATGAGCTGCTACTTATTGCCGCGTCGTCGGGCGCGTCGCCGATACTTTTTCAACTGTTTATTTTTGGCACTCGTTCGAAAGAGTGTTACATTATTCGAGACGGTTGAAGACAAAGCGCCGTCAGCGGCATGATAGTGTGAGCACGCCAGGATGGGAGCGGAGAGGAAGGAACTGTTTCATCGGCTCAATGTTTGTGCGGCAGCATCAGTGTCGGTAAGGGACTCTGTCGGCACAGTAGCCAACAACGTCACGGGGCATCAAGCAAGACATGGATGGTGACCACCATATTGCCACCAGCGACATTTCCTCATTGTCCAGGACACCCCTTCCGTAGGGATCATCCAGAAAGTACGTCCGTCAAGTTCAGTCTCTGCTGCAAGCTCTCATAACGCCTGGTAGGTAGGCAAAATCTTGCCTGATGGGCATTCGTGTACTGCGGGGCGGCCTACCCCGAGTCTCGCGGGCGCCGAGATCTCGTAATTTACCGAAGGATTCCGAGAAAAAGTGACGTACTTTCCGGAGGATCTCTTACGTTCCTGTGGCCCCCGCACCTGTACTGACTGGTGCAGTCTATCTTGTACGCGGGCGCTCCGACGTCGGCGGCCACCTCCCTCGCGGCCAGGGCGAGCTGCAGCCCCACCCCGAGGCCGCGCACCGCCTGGTCCGTGGCCAGCTCCCGCAACTCCAGCATGCAGCAGCCCTCCGGGTCCTGGCCGCTCCAGATCTCTGGACGCTCCAGCATCAAGGACCACAGCTCCAGCACGCGGCGCGTGGCCGGGCAGTCGGCCTGTTCTGGAGACAGGGGTGGGCGTCGAGAGTGGCAGGGCTATGCGCCCGTGCTGCGCCCGCCTGCTTGTTCCCTCACCGGCCTGCTGCCGCAGCTTGCAGGCGTCCCCGGGCGCCACGATGCTGTTGACGGCCACCCCGCAGATGTCGCCCTGGCCGCCGGCACTGCCCTGCAGCACGGCCATCAGGGACAGCCCCTCCCGGAAGGAGGCCCGCGTGTGGTCCAGCAGCACCTGGTCGGAGCCCGTGAAGGAGTCGCAGTCTCGAGCCGATCCGGGCACAGCCGGGGGGAGCCCTCGTAGGGGCCGGACACGCACCTGCGGCGGGCACTCGGCAAGCCCCGCTGCCACCAGGACGGGCTCCTCGCGGTAGAAAGTCCTTTGCATGAACTCCATGACGCGCTCCTCGTCACAGCACGAGCACGGCACGACCGTGAACGACGGTGGGGCCGGGGCCTGTATAGTTCCCGACGCAAACTCACTTCACATGTCCCCCCCCCTTTCTCCCCCCCCTCCCCCCCAAGCTCGAGCATTGTTTTGGTCTCGCATTCTCAGCTGATCGGGGTGCCTGTTCCACTCACGCTGCAGGTGTTTGCGGGCGGCTTGCAGGCCATCCCCCGCCCCAGCCCCCGCTGCCTCGGCTGCGCCCCAGCGGGCCCAGCTGACGCCGGCCGCAGACGCGCGCACGGTCTGCACCCCCACGACGCCAGGCCCCGTGCCAGCAGCGGCACCAGGGTGGCGAACATGGGGGCCGCCTGCCCCCCCACGGGGGGGTCCGCGGGCCTCGCGGGGCTCCGTCGCGCTGCGACCGCTGCAACAATCGTGGGGGCGACCGGTGGGCGCAATGCCGGGGCGGGGAAGGACGGAGAGGACGACTCGCACTCGTCCCGACGACCGATCCGCGGCCCGGGCCTTAATCAGGATGTCTGCAGGCTGCCCCGAGCAGCATTGAGCACGCTTAACCCGCTTCAGCCAATCTGTCGAGGTCGTCGCACGGCCAGGCGGCCGCCCCGCGCCCGCCCCGCACGCCGCAGTGCCACCGCCGCAGTGCCTCTTTGCAGCGCGTGTGCTGAGCGTGCTGTTCGTACGGCTACGGCTGTCACGCCGCGGCCCGGCCGCCCAGCCCGGCCGCCCAGCCCGGCCCACCAGGGCGGCGCTCTCCATCTAGACCACCTTCTCACGTGTTGGCTCGCGCGGACAGTTGGAAGGGCGAGAGCGCGGCGAAAGGGTCTGCTTTGCTTGTTCGCTCCCTTCAAGATCAAGAGCGAATTCCTCGGCGAATTCCCACCGTGGATTCGAGTGAAGGAGCACGTATAGTACAGAGGAGTTAGAGAGGTTCTTAAGAGCTGCGGTTTCATGTGAGTAGAGTACGTGTGTTTTACTACATAGTCACTGATGGCCGGACATAAAAATCCAGAACCCAATCAGAACAGTATCAATTAACGTGGACATTCTAGCCACGTTCTGGCGGCGGGTGAAAAAAAGCAATCATCAAACAACAAAATAACTCCCCGGTCTGCGCTGTTAAATCATTTGAATCGGTCCAGCTTCTAGTCTCTTGCTTGCTATTGCCTAGGCGAGTCTTCTACCGACGTCCTGTATCCTGCCGGAAGATACAGGACCGCGCGCACCCTTCGCTCTCTTGATCGACACCGTCGGTTGCTCGCACGAGGCGCATCTATGTGATGAACGTGGGGCCGCCTCAAAGTCACAAGGTGCTTGACACTCGTGGAGTGTGGCGGCTGCTCTTCCCCTCCCCGCCCCGCCAAGCAAAGCCACCCCACCGTGACACTGCGAGTGTGCGTAGCCGCCTCGAGCCGGACCGGGCCGGACCGGGCCGGACCTAGAGAGCGCCAGTCAAGCGGAGAAGAGTTGGGATAGGGCGCCCCGGCATTCGGTCCTTCCCCACGCCCCCCGCCCCGCTCCCCGGCTGCCGCCCATCCACTAACAACCACCGATAGCGTACAACTGAACGCTTGTGCATGAATGTGTCGCACCTCGCGCCCGGCGGGGCTGCGGTGAGTCATAGCCGCCGAGGTGCAGCTGAGGGAGGGGATGGGGAGGGGGGGGGGCACACACGCCCCCAAGGTGCAGCAGGTCCGTGTCCACCTCACGGCGCCGGCTCACGCCTGCCGTATCCTCTCCTCCTCCGGTTAGCTCCCGCGCGCGGGACGGCGGACGACTTGATTTACGTCCCGGGCGGTGGAGGCGGTGGACACGAACAGCACTCAAACTGCACGAGGGCGCGCGTCCACCCGCAGCCACTACTGTCGCTAATAAAGCGGGCAGAAGATGGTGACGACGACGACGACTTTGTCGCACGGGGCATATTATATAACGGTAGGAATGTTGGGCAGCGGGCCGGGCGGCCGGGCCGAGGTGGCGGCACTTCCGCTGCGGCGGCGGCGGCTGGCGGCCCGTGTACGCACAGGGGGGCGGTGGGACGACCCAGCATTTGCATTCGCCGGCCGGCGCCGGGAGAGATGCCCGGGAAATCCCACCTTGACCCGTTCCCGGCCCGCATGATCTGGACGAAGGAAAGGCAGCATCCAGAAGCGCCGGCGGCAGGGAGTCCATCCAGTCAGCGCCCAGCAGCTGAGCGGGCGCATGGGCGGGCAGCCCGCTACCCGCGTCCCCCTA